CCCCCCATGCTCATCCCTTTTTGTCCTTTTTTCTCTTTTATGCCATCGTCGTTGCCTCAGTGTCACATCATTCACAACATCTTCCTAGTAACTAGTGTTCCTTGATTTTTACCTCACACTTGATAATAATAACTTCAACTTCATAATTAGACCTGCAAATAAGGGTACCTGTAATTACAATTTGCAGGTAAAAAGTCAGGTTTTTGCAGGAAACACAATAATAATAATAACTTTATTTATATAGCACCTTTAAAGAAAGATAGTAACAGTAAAAATTAAGATTCATCTGATCAGCAAAATTTTCCCTATTACAATCTATTCAACATGTAGGCATGCTCCTTTTGCTTATAGTCATTTCTTCTTCACATGAATATATATTATATATAAAATAAAGTATATACTTATACACAAAGATCAGACTGAGCTCCTTGATCCCATCTACTCTCTCCTTGTGTTCCTTTTGCCTTTTTACTCTGTAACCCTTTCATTCACAAGCACATTTTGTTATGTCATTAATTAAAGCTAATTCTGTCTCTTCAACCCCACCCCCTTCCAAAAAAGCACACGGGAGTCTTGCATATGAGCGTTTTTATTGGTGTGTGTTTAAATTTGCTGTAATGAGGTCTGCAGGGAGATGAGGACGGAGAGTGGGTAGAGAGAAGAACATTACCTCAGGGCACAAAAATCTCTCTTTTAGTGGGCTTTAATGCCCCTCTGTGTGCCTGTCTCGCTCTCTGTCACTGTCTCACTCTGCTTTTTCTCCTGTGCTGTCCATTTCCATTTTCCAGCTGTCTCAAGGCTTAGACATTAACTGGTAGCACTTTTTTTTTTACAAATACATTCAATTTGCTTTGCATTCAAACTCATTTTGAAGTCAAAAGGACTTTTAATAGTTTTATTAAGTTCTTTAAAAGAAAAAAAGCAGATTCATAAATAAAATTCATATTGGCTGCTTGAATACTTTAGATGCTTTTGGGAACCATCTTGTTCAAGGCTTTTTTTAAGTTACCGTCTGTTGTTGAATTGATCTTTTTCTGGCCTATATTAATGATTGAACTTTACATTATGCACTTAGCGACAGCACTGAGGTCTCTCTCCCACCGTCAGTCTTTTCTCTTTCTTTTTGTCTTCTATCGAGAAAGAGAAAGCGAGAGAGAGACAGTTTAACCTCGGGCCAAATTTTACACTGACCATCTCACTTTTTCTCTCCTTTCCTCCCTCTGTCTCTCGAGCTGTTGTGCTTTCTGACTTTGTAGAGAGAGTTTTGCCCTCAGGGTGAAATTTTAGAAAGCTATAAACTGTTTCACTCTCTCTCTCAACTCCTGTCTGTCTTTTCTGCCTTTCCCTAGCTCTCTCACTCACTAGAGATAAACAAATGATGGACAGGAAGATGAGAATTAAAAATAAAAAGAGGAAAAAGGGGAAAAAATGGCAAAGGAAGAAAAAAAAGCAAGGGAAAGAGGAAAAGATTCCCTCCTCGATATCCCTGTCACTCACTGAGGAGCTGTTGTGACATTATCCGTTAAAAAGTTATTTACGGTGCATGAATTTGGTATAAATGATGTATTTAGCCCCTTTAGCTATGTGCACAGTTATAGGGGGCTGTAAGTACACAAATTATAGCCGCCTTCTCACACTGTTTTGATATCTGTGGGGTTTTAATATAATGGATGTTACATATGAGAACATCAGAATCCAGCTTTGAATTCACGATGCAGATGGATGGTCACATGAATATTTGTGGAAATAATGGCTTGAAGGATAAAAACAGAAAGAGAGCTTAAGAGATAAGATGAGAGATGAGACAGTACAGACAGCCCTTGAGGTCATTATTTGTTTTCATGTCCTGCCATAAGGTGTTTTAGTGTTGCCAGCTTGTGTTTCTTAGCAGCTTTACAAAGGGGCTGGTGACTGCGGTGTTGGTTTGGAGTTTTTTTGTTGATGTTCTATGCAACTTATTAAATGGTAACCTGATGTCACAACAGTCTGCAATATAGTCACGACCTACTGATTCATGTTTCTGTACACAAAACTTTTTGCGCATTCCTCAACATAAATTTCAATCTCATGTGTCCTGATTAAAAGGCAAGTGAAAGTCAGCATTTGATGGTTGAATGTTTGGTTGAAGATTCAGTCGACAGATCAAAAAAATACCATAAATATAATGCCTATCACGTATTTTAAAACTTTTTTCCTGGTTGCTATGGTGACAACTTCCATCTTTTTCTACACTCCTGATACAAAATATATATCCTCAATGCATTACTGAGATGCATTACTCGCAAAAAAAGAAAATAAAAAAATAATAGGACATGGGAAGAGTAGTCACTGACTTGTGTTTTTTTAAAAAAAGGTAATAATAACTTTGAGGGGAAGCATTTGCAAGCCATCACAGCCGTTAGTAAAAGCATTTGTGAATGATCGGTGGTGATTAAAACATCAACTTGGAAGCTTTTCATGATACAGAGGTTAAAGTTCTGGCTACTTTCAAACCCCATCTACTCCCATGGTCACATAAACTGTGAGAAAATGCAACATGAACTTTCTTTGTACCTTAGATAAAGATTGAGGTCTAATGTTAACCTTGTTTATTCAATGCAGACGATTGAATAAATAACCTTGTAATTTTGAAGTTACAGATTTTATGAAACAATTTTTTTTCCACGTAGAGATACTTGAACTTTGCTTGCATGAGAGTGTATTTAATTATAATATATAATGATGTTGCATTACAAATACGTTTTCCTTAGATGCTGTTGCTTTGCCAAATGATGTCACTGAATGAAACCTGTTAGTATTATTAGTAGCTCATATGACCTGAAGGATGGGGCTGATTTAGCGAGTGCAACTGACAATGCTAACCTGTGGCACTAATTGGGACTGTTCAGAGCTGAACTCACTGGTTCCTCTTGTCTTGTGCCATGTGTGTTTTTGTCATGCTAGGCTGTATAAACGTGAGTGTTTGTGTGTTTGTGAACACGTATTCGTGTGTGAGTGCAGCTTTGCTCGTATCAATGTGTCTGAGTCTCACCAGTCTTCTTCTGTCCTGTCCTGTGCTTTCTCTCTCCTTGTGTGCGTGTGTGTGTCTTTAGCTATCGGTACCCAGCGGAGGAGAAGTCCCAGCGCCATTGCCTCTGAGATCTTCGAACCTCACCTAGGAAGCCACATTTTACAGGTAGGAACTATTCACAGCGGATAAAAACTTATCTGAACTCATCTTTGGAAAAAAGCTTGGAAATGCATGTGGATACAGCAGACCTATTTTTCTTCTGGTTCCACAGTATCACGCTGGACACACATGGACACACTCTTGGTCCAGTACATTTTTCAGTGGCTTTGGTTTCTGATGAATAATTTCCAGTTATTGTTGCTTGGTTGCATCAGGCATCAAGATGCAGATTGTGTACACTCTACACACTATAAGCACACACACACACACACACACACACACACACACACACACACACAAACCTGCTCAATATTATGGGTAAACAGTGCTCTTTACAATTTTACATTAACTTGATTAACTTTTCTTTGTGAAACTTTCAGCAGCCATGTGATATTTTGCTCTTAGGCTGCTGTTTTGATGGTTTTAAAGTGAAATATCTTAGAAAATGAACTGATCCAGAAGTATAGAGATTCACAGTTCCACCAACCCTCTCGTGCTTGGACCATTATCTGAATAGAAGCATCAACCTGAAACATTGTCGTTGATGTTTTAAGGATTAAAATTTCAAAGTCCTGACATATGCAATGTTACTTTAGTTAGCAGACTATGGGTCACATTTAATAAGTGGAGCAAATTAGCATGTGGATGCAATCACAAACAAATGCTAAAAAAGTGTAACGTTTTGGGGGTATTTACTCTTACTCTAGGAAAAGTAGCACAAATTCACCAATGAGCAGTTCTGCTAATAATTAGTATTTTACTTATAATTGACAGATATGGGTTTCCAATAGATACAGCTTAGCAATAAAGACTAAGTAGAAAAAACATATCAGGTCTTGATTTTCAATTTCTTATTTTCTTACTGTGACTCATGCTAACAGTAGTTTTTAAAGTCTTGGGCCAATGCAAGTACTGTAGTAAGTAAGTATAGCCTAATGCAAATGTATGACAATACTAGCAATTTCTGTTTCCTCTATCAAGTTTTTCTTTCATGTAGTATTTCTGTTTTCTAGTCAGCATTACATCCTGAAGAGCTCCTAGTGAGCCCTTTAATGAATTACAATTAATGCTCTATATTCTTTTATTTCCAATTCCCAAGCCCTTATAATATTATAGTCTGACATCCAAATCCTATAAAATGCTTTTTTTTCCTCAGAAAGAGGATTTTACACCAGTTGTTATCTGAATTATTTCTTATGATTTGCCTTTGAGCTTTTCTGAAGCTATATTATTCTCAATAATGTACCTCTACATTATTAGCACAGTGATTCCTCATAATTCACCCTCAGATTTTTCAACACAGCCAACTTCCTCAACATCCAGCTGCTGCTGCGGCTAAGCTGAATTCTTAAATGGAATTATGAAAGTATGATAATGACTGGGTTATCGCTGTTCGCTCCCTCGGGTTTGTGTGTGTGCAAAAATGTGTGTGTGTCTTGTAGTTTTAATCCCTAGCATGCTCCACTCCATATCTGTTTAACATACAGCCCAAAGGCTGAGCTTTTAACATCACAACCAGGCTGACGCGATACCACAGCTGATAGGCGCTGGTAATCTGTGTGTGGGTGTGTGCGTGTGTTATTAGATATGCAGTATTTGTAAGTGCGTGTACATTTCTGAGATGATTTTTTAAACCTTCAAGAATGTTCTTTTTTGTTGCTAGTGCATTTTCAAACATTTAATCTAAGTGTGTGTGTGTGTGTGTGTGTGTGTGTGTGTGTGTGTGTGTGTGTGTGTGTGTGTGTGTGTGTGTGTATCTGCTTCAGTTACACCTGATTATTATTATAATCTGGCTGACACCAGTAAGCCTTCACTATGGAAAAATCCACACTTTTCTAATCTCCTTGTACTTTTTTATCCCTTTATCATATTCAAGGATCCTGACAGAAAAGTCTCTAGCAGATATAAAAAGTTAATTGCCAACTGTAACACCCTCTCGTTAAAAACAAAGCAAAACAGCAACAAAAACAAAGTGACACTGACCATCTGTAACAATAAAGCAGGAAATGCTTTGTTTTAATCGGGTAATTCTGGAGAATAAAAATAGATATATTATATACATAACTGCCCTTAATTATCAAGTTGAGAAGCTGGACTTCCTGCATGCTTTGACTTGCAAAGTGCCAATAAAGTAAATATGCTCATCAGCTACATTGACTTTTGATAGGCCATCAGTCATCTGGTAAGTGGACAAAAACAAAAGCAAAACCAGGAAATTGAAGCTTTACCAACTGAGTAAGCATACTTTGTCCCAGTAGTTGCATAGAAAAACACAGGTGTCACTTTGCTTTGGTTAGGTTCGAAAATATAAAACCAATATGTTTAGGTTCAGATTTGGAATAAAAAAGCAGCATTGTGGTTACGGTAAAAGTTGCACAGTTGGAGCCTATCCCACCCACATAGCAACACTGGTATGGCCTGGATCTGGGCCACACAATGTGCTTACACTCGGCCCACCTACCACGAGGAATGATGGCCCTTTGGTGGCCCAGATGTGGTTTGCCAGAGGTGGCCCACACATTGGCCAGCACAAGGCCCGTTGCAGACACACTGGTGGCCCTGTGCTGGCCCAGAACAGTTTCAGCTCTGGCCCCAGATATCAGCCTAATGTATACCTTAATCAAGCCATGTCATAACAACATGTGCCGGAACATAATAGTGCAAAGTAAGATGATGAAACTCTGTTCAGACAGTGAATGGACTGATTTTTATATAGCGCTTTTCTACTCTCCCAGATTACTCATAGTGCTCTATACAACATGCCACATTCACCCACTTTCTCTAAACTGAGTGCTTCCTTTACATTTATACTTTTGACATGCAGACTAGAAGAGCCAAGGATTGAACCACTAACCTTCCGATCAGTAGGTAACCTGCTCTACCTCCTGAGCTACAGCCACCCAGTAGGAAACATGAGTAAACCCTCACAAGGTTTTGGAAAAAGTGTACACTCACAAACCTGTCAAACCTGCATGTGAAACGTTGGCTACCATAGCTGTATAGTATTGCAACATGGCATTTGGGTCTTCTAACTAAAATAGGAAAATAGGAACATAAATAGTGCCATCATTGCCAGACCTGGCCCACATCTGGTTGACATACACCCTGCCATGACACCAGTCGGTCAGAAGTGCCATCTTGATGCTGGATCCGGGGAAGACCTGTGTTCTATGAGCCTGGGCCACATAAACCAAACCATAATCGAGCCACGTGTGGCATGCCATCACATAAACAGTGCCATCTATGCCAGGCCTGGCCCATATCCTGATGACATAGCACTTACTATGCCAGAAGTCAGACCTGTCTGCTATGTGGGCAGCTGTCTTAGGGCGAGAGGAGCAATTTAGAGTTACCAATTAATCTCATCCCACTAATTTCCTGTCTTTGGAATGTGGGAGGAAGCTGGAGTACCCAGAAAGAACCCAGGCAAACGCGGGGAAAGCATGCAAAGACATGTAAAAGAACCTGGCCTAGTGGTGGAATTGAACTTCTTGTTTTGAGGCAACAGTGCTCACCACCGTGCATCCGTGGAACCTTCATCGTAAAAAGTAAAGCTGATTGCTGTTTTGAAGCACACAACTGTCTCCTTTGCTATATTTTAATCATTTTGTTAAGCCATATGTCAGCCCTGATCACTTTCATGATTGGAGACATGTCACTTCACCTCACCCTTACCTCTGGTTAAAATCACAGAGGTTAAGTTGGTATCTGCCTAGACTGTGTTTGTGTGAGTTGCCTAGGTTTGGAGATACCTGCTATAGAAATGTCTTTCTTTTGAATGTAAACAAACTAAAGCGCCCGCTTCAAATATCTTTAAAGAGCTTAAAGGAAATATGTTGTTCATCATTAATCGTTGTCCAAGGTATTTATGTTTAATCTTGAATCCTGCAAAAGTGGCAAAAACTAAAACCATTAATTCTTTGGAAACCAAAATGAAGAAAAAGAAACCAAAATAAAGCTAATCCGCATAATATCACATATGCTAAGCTGCCTGACTAACGACAAACACATTAGACAAGAGTAGTTGGAAAAAATGACAACCCCTGCCAAGTTTTCTTAGTTTTGTTAGGACACTCTTGATGCTCCAAAGTCTAAGTCATTGTTGGTGACTATCCTTACCTTGATTTTTTGGAGAAAGACTAAGAGAAAAATGTAGGTAGTTTTTGATGTGTCAGAATGATTCTTCTCTTTTTATTCCTGACTGACAGCACTTGGTAGAAAGGTTAATCTGTTTGCACAGGGTTAATGATCATGGTTAGGTGTTTGTCAGAGATGAGTTGACAAAGAGCTTCACAGAACTTTTAGGAAACACGCTCTAGCAATCCCACAAACAATACCAGCCACAGCACCCACTTACACAAAGCTTATTGGGCAGGTGGCAAGGACCAGTTGATCCTGGGGCTTCAATGGTGATCAGACACTCAGGGGTGTGACAGACCTGAAACAGAGCGAGTGAGGGCTCTCTTAAAAAGTACTTCAGGAGTCAGTTTTTGTAACACTGGGGCTAAATGTAACTAATCTGATCCTGCAAAGTAACATGCTTTACATATAAATGTAACGGAATTTACTTTAGTTTAGTGACATATAATTTAAATCACCAAAAAGTGTTTGATGATAGCATTACTGTCCAGATTGTCACACACGAATTTGGAATTGCGATGGTTTCCATGTTTTGCAGCTGGTTTGCAAATAGCAGTTCCAGATCTGAAAATCATTAGATCGCATACTCAACTCTCTTCTGGTGGTCAGTCGACATGACTGTCAAAGCTTCCAATGCAAACACTCTGCATGAGCGACTCGCTGGCAGCCAGAGGGTGCTGTTCCCAATGTGAAAGCACTCAGGATGTCATGCAATAGTGTCACATACAGCCGCACCTATTGTAAGTCCTTGTACCATTTGTTCTTCATCTGTCCCGTGTTAATCCTTCAGACAGCTGCAGCGCAGACCGAGTATGTCGCCGTGACAACCATCTCCCTTCTTCCGCCGCTGTGCACATCATGTTGTC